CCTTTCCACCCCTCCCTCTTCTCCTGGTCCTTCTCTCCCATGCGCCTCAGTGTACATCTTTCGGATGCCATCCACTCCAGCAGGAAGTTCAATCTGCTTTTTAAAATGTGTTTTTTTGGTGCTGTTTTGTATGTGTGGCATAATATGAGTAACTCTCCAATGGCGTAACAGATACTTGGTATATGCCCGATCAAAAGCAGACAAAAGACATCATATTTGTACAATTATACACAAATCAGAAACACAAATGTGTGTATCTTATCGTATCGGTACGGATGTTGTTGCTTTCCTTTTAAAGTTTTAATTATTTTCTTTTGTTTTGGCAAGAGCTTTATGGCGCTCGCAACAGCATAAAGTCATTATGAGCGCTTGGGATTCATTAAACATTTTCAGTTTGATAGGAATTATTTTTGAATGTTTGCCTGGGTGCTGGCTGAAGCCCATTTTTATTGATTTTAGACTACCAAGGGATCTTTAACATGCGCAACTTGCACACGAGGCCTCCAAGATTTTTCGCCCTTATCCGAGAAGGATAGGTGTTAGATCTTACATACCCTAAGATCAGTGGTGTGGGTTAAAGGCAGCCGGTAGAAGGAGCCAAGGAGTAGCACGTTTTAGTTGAAGATTTAAAAAACTGAAAAATGTGTATGAATAATGAAATTATGCTTCTCTTTGAAGTGTGCCAAACCAGCAGCCCATGGGCGGCGTCGAGTGATCAGAATGCTCATTCTCAATAAGTTAACATTCGAAACCGGTAATTTTATTTCCTGCCCAATATTTAATTTCCGGCACTTATTTATACCGAGAAGACCCGAGAAGACCCGAAAAGACCCCAAAAAACCCCCAAAAGACCCGAGAAGACCCGAAAAGACAGCCGAAAAGACCCGAGAAGACACGAAAAGACTCTAAATGACCCGAAAAGACATACATGGTTTATTTATTTATTTATTGTTTATTTATTTGTTGTTTATTTATTTGTCACAAACTGACACTTACATTTAAACCGAGAAGACCCGAAAAGACCCCAAAAGACCCAAAAAGACCCGAGAAGACAAACGAAAAGACCCGAGAAGACACGAAAAGACACTAAATGACCCGAAAAGACATACATGGTTTATTTATTTATTGTTTATTTATTTGTTGTTAATTTATTTATCACAAACAGATCGATAATAATATAGGCTCCACAGCCGTGGACAAGACATGACTCGGACCCCACCGTCTTTTCGGGTCTTCTTGGTAAAAATAAGTACCCTCATTTAGTGTCTTTTCGTGTCTTCTCGGGTCTTTTCGGCTGTCTTTTCGGGTCTTCTCGGGTCTTTTCGGGTCTTCTCGGGTCTTTTTGGGTCTTCTCGTATCCTTTCGGGTCTTCTCGGGTCTTTTTGGGTCTTCTCGTGTCTTTTCGGGTCTTCTCGGGTCTCCTCGGTAAATATAAGTTCCCTTTAATTTCTTTCTGCTTGATTTTTTTTTGTTCAAATGCTTTATAACTTTAAAATGGCTTTAAAAAGATTACTAGACTCGAAAAATCAGAGGCGGCGGTGTAATTGTTGTTGTTTTAGGCAAATATTGATTATGGGAATATAACACCCTGTTGATTTTTTACAGATGCCCAGAGTTCAACATAATAGAAACCGTCAAGGGAGAGTACGACTAAAGCCACGGAGAAGCAAAAGGGACACAATTCATGCTCTTAGTAGACGTGCTGCGCATGTGGAAAATGCCAAAACCGTATCCGACGCCCTGATCAAGCTTCAAGAATACCTCAACTTACTTGATCAAGAAGAACGCAGACAACGTGGAGAAAAAGCTGATTCTCAGTTGGAATCGAAACCATGCCAGAGGTCGATTGCAAGTCGGAAATCACCTAGCAGGGAGAAGACAAAACTATTGAGAAAATGCCTCACTCGAACGAGAGGAGGTTCTCTTTCGTCAAGTAATGACGTCACTTACCAAGCTCCTGAGAAAGAAACACGAGTAAGTAATGCCTCAGACAGGAGCATCGCAGGAAATAACAAAGAGCGTCAGAAACCTTTTAGTGACAGAGACCCTAACACGACGGGTAGCAATAATGACATTGCAGATACGACGCTTTCAGTCGATCTGAGATCCACGTCTGAGCCAACTAGTCGTCGAAGCTTACTCTCTGACAAGTCTAAACCTCACGCAAGCAGTACGTGTGGCGAGAAATTCCAAGCAGGATGTCAAGTACCTAGGAGTAAAAAATTCTCCAAAGAGGCTGACATCGCTACGCCTTCCATTGGTGAGACAGACGAACTTGCGAAAAGCTCAAGACAGTCGAGGAGACTGGGAGTTTTCTCCACTATTCCATCACCAGCAAACATAGAGTTCAGTCAGCAAAGTAATAAACCAATGACGTTGGGGCATGGCAGTAGCGGAATGTACCCAGAAAGCCAAGGTCAAATCCAGAAAGTGTTTGCATCGGATGGCGGACGAATCTCACACGTTTTCAATTTTTATAATGTGAAAGAGGCAAAAGTTGACTATAGGAGAGGCGACAACGTCATGAAGGATGGGAGAATTCACAATATCCTCGGTAAAACTGTAGATGTTTTGGAATCAATATTCAAATCTAAAGTAAACCCTGAACCTAAAGATCGTTTATCAGAAGCTGAGAGGCCCAACTTGGCAGATGAAACAATAAAACTTGAAAGACCGCTGGGCTCAACAACATCAATACGTGGCTATATTTTTGCAGACCATCAATCGCCTCCAACAACTAATGGTAAACTGTACAAGCTACGAACAGAGAAAGGCGAAGGATCTTTCACTGGTTCCCAAATTAGATCTTCAGAAACACCAGTCACGTTAGATAGCTATGAATCTTCGACTGTAGGTTTTGTTAGAATGTCCACAGATTTTAGTGGACTGTCCAGTCTTGACCCAAGCCAAAAATCTTCAGCTGGATACAGAACACCATCAAGACTGAATGCTGATAACAAATATCAGCAAGCAAGCACATACAGCTTTAGAACTGAAGAAGATCATGTAGACGTTTTGGTTCCGCCATTGACCACCACGGTCCCACTTAAAGAAATTGACTCCTCAACAGAAACACTTCGTCATCAGATAACAACTTTTGGCTTTAATACGAAGGGGCTGGACCAGGACGTAAGCGACAGCACGAGGGGAGTAGATGAGATTGTACCTACTAAGATGGTATATTCTCCACTGAACCAAAACGTTGATGGAGCTGGAAAAAAGCCCAAATATGTAGAAAAAGAGAGTGCTAAACCTCGATATCTCTTATCCGAGTTTGGCGCTCACGGAACATTGGCGGACGATGGTGCAGACTGGGACTATGATACACATTTGGACTACGATTTTCCAGATCAGGGAGAAAACTTTGGGCAAGAAGTTTTACACAAACTAGACACGATAATTGACATCTTAAACGGGTCTGTTCAGAAAAGAATGCTCCCTTTCGCAACGCAGCTGCATGCTGGTAATAGTTTTAATCATAGTCAACCAACACAGATGAACTCGGAAGATAAAAACCAAGGAAATGCCTTCCCAAGTCTTAAGATGTCTCTTGGGACAAGAAAAGCTTCATCTCTTTCAGAAACAGAAAGGGTATCGACTGCTAGACACATATTGCCAGGTTATAATGCTCAAAATAAAGAACACCCACGTCCCACTGATCAGCCAAGAGCTGATTTGAAACACGTAAGTAGAGATCCCAAGGATGTCTTTGAAGAAAAATATTCTGAGAAACAAAGTGTGCCCAGTCTAAGGAGATTTTTGGTCACCGACGACATCGAAACTAACCGCAAAACATTGCTTGCTGAGAACGAATTGTCAAGGGGTGACGCCGGGTTGCCATATATAAATATCTCACCCAATGAAGAGAGCGTTCCAGATCCAGCCATGAACTGGTATTTCTCAGGGGAAGAAGATGACACCAAAAACGCTCAAAGTACAAATACTTCTGGCCTTTTGAATCGTTACGACATGTTACAAAAGACTTCGCACATGCTGGATGTTTTAAGCAAACGACTTTCTCAATGTTCTGCTGATATGCTAAACGTCGATACAAATGTTAACGCGACACAGAAGAACATGGGTATGCACTCTTCTTGTACTGATGTTTTCCATGTTATGAAAGAAATGGGAGACAAATTATCAAATACCATCTCTAATAAAAGCTCCGGATTTTCTTTCGACACGTCCCTCGGAAAGGACAAGGAAAAAGATAATAGCCCACACGAAAAAGGATCAGAAGCAGATACCCCTCAAATAGATACTGGCCGTGCCATAAAACAAATTGAAAAAAAAATTGATCTTTTAAACCAAGAGGTCTCCCAAGTTGTTGCTGACGTTTTGGAAGTCAAAGAAAAATTCAATAGTACGACACAAAAAGATGCAATAAAAAAATCTGACATTAAGGAGATTTTGAAAGACTTAGGAATACTGGCCGGCCAAAGCATCCAAAGTTACGCCGACAGCTCTGAAGGCAAAAAATGGCAGAACTGGGAGTCAGAGGAAGTCAACGTGGAGCAAAAAGGCACGGACTTATCGAATAAAGCGATTCTAACCGATATTTTGAACAGGTTGGATAGGCTGGAGGAGAACGATGACCCTCTGTCAACAACAAAGGCACGTGTTAAAAGTTTCAGTATGTCCACGGGTGAGTCATCACTGCTGCTCTGTTTTGTGTATCATTTATTGTTGAAACTTAACGCCCTTCTCATTTATTGTGAACTAATGGAAAAGTGTTTCATAACCCCCCCCCCTTCCTCCACCCCCCGCAAAAACCAGCCCCCACCCCTCACAAACTCCTGCTTGTGCACAACATTAGGTAACTTAGGGGGCCGGCTGCCTGGACCTTGTCAGTTAAGACTAAGATCAAACCGGGAGGAGTGGGATACAACATCCCGGCACACAGACTCAGTTCTTGATAAAAATTTTGCTTCGTAAGAATCGAACTCACCTCTTGTGTATACTTTGAAAAAGGGCCTAACTCATTACACCACAACGGCAGCGCTCTTCTTGAAACAAATCATACCAGTACTAAGAAGGAACAGTCTTACCCCCTCCCCTCTTTCTCTCTCTCTCTCTCTCTCTCTCTCTCTCTCTCTCTCTCTCTCTCTCTCCCG